TGTAATCAAAATAGCTGTAGTGGGCAAGCACTACAGACGTGGGTCTGGGTAAACCACAGTCTAGACCACTTGCCCCATTTTACGTAACAGGTCACAGTCCTTGGCTCTAGCAGCGGTACATACTTTGCACACATAAGCAAATACTCTGCAGCATTTCCTGACTTGTTAACTTTACGTGCTCTGAAATGAAAGATATGGAGCAGCCCTATCACTTCCACAGAAATAAAGAAGTGTTAAAGGAGTTACCGCACCATTTTCACTAGCGCTAAAATCAACAACACGTAGCCCCAGGCAATTGGCAGACTGGTTAAAAAGCCCACATACCAACCACTACGTAGTTCAACGCTGTCTGATGCTATCGCAGCTACACCAGCACAGCAATATTGGAATTGTGCTTTACACTGGATAAACAAACAGGGGTGTCAGAAGTTCAGACACAGCTAGTCTCTCATTGCGAGTTCAGAACTTGCATCATGGGTTTTATTTTGAATAAATAGACATCAATTAAATAAAAGCAGTTCCCAACCTGTCATTGAAACTAGAATGAGACACCAGGTTTCACATGGGATATGCACATTCCTGGACAGACAAGCAGACATGAACAAGCTACGCGGAGTTAGGCAGATGATACCACAGGCTGAAACAAGGCAGGAAAAGACACTGGAAATTACAAATGAGGGAAAAAAGACACTGTCTGATCCCACCACACAGCTGCACAAGTGGGACACCCCAGTCGTACCTTACATCAGCAGTGTTAAGATTTGCACTCAAAACAGAATAAAGATCCATCCTTGCTCAAGTGATTTCAGCACCATCCCTTCTCACAGCTTCTGATGCTCACTGGACAGCATGAAGCAAGCTCCACTGAGACACGAAGTAACAAAGTGTCCTTCTTCTCTAAGGGAAAGGAACCCAACATTCAACTGCAGGCAAATACTGAAGCTCTAATTTGGACGGACAACTCCCACCCCAGTAACTGAAACCCATGACAGAAACGGTAGAGTTTTCAACTCCTCGGAAGATGAAAGCAGCAATGGAAACTTCATAACCTGTCCACGTCAGCACTAAGAAAGCTCTTTCAGTCTACAAGCAGCAAAGCTCTGGTTTCTGCTAATTCATGTTTCTCATACATTGCCTTGGCTACGGAGTTAGTGGATCCCTCAGAAACATTCTCAGACAAGCATACTGTGAATGATTTTAAATACATCCATGTATTGGAAGCCGTTCCTTCCCAGTGGAAAGAGAAGCGGAGAAGAAAGAAAATGTTGGCTTTTTTTTCCATAGCAGCCCATTCCTTGACGCTCCAACATAAGTGCAAACAAGCATTTAAACAAAGACCAGTTGTATCTGCAGAATTTGTGATGTGGAATTCACTTTAGAAAAGATATCAATATAGCTATGTATTTTATGTCAGCGACGGTGAGTAGTGGAGCACAGATTATTTACTATGCAGAAACCAAGACCTGAGAAGCAATAACATCCATATACTTAGTCAAGTCAGTGAAAAAGTTGCTGCAACTCCCACGTTCTCACTGTTATGTCTCCTCTTCCTCAAACTTACACCTCAAGTACCCTCCCATTTCAACTATCAGTCTTCAGTATGGTAGCCTAAGAGTTTGCAGAGAGCAATCACTATTGAACAGAGGAAAACATTTAAAAACTGCAGCACTCCTAGAAACACACACGTCAAATCACTTTTGCCCTCACAAGTGTGAGCTTCTCTAACATCAATGGGGTTACTCAGAGAAACGAAGAGGGCAAAAATGAAAACTGAGCCTCAAGGTTGAAGCTGATGTGAGATTTTCTTCATGTTGTACACAAAGGTGTCATTATAGTAACAGACCTAAACCATACACACAGTATGTGTGTACATACACACAGTACAGTCAGAACGTCTAGAAAGCAGATGAAATAAAGTATGGGTAAATAACAAAAAAACCACAACTTTTTCCAATAAGCTTTGGAATACAGTATTTTCTCTTTCAGTTTATTTCTAGACATGACTATTTCATACCTGTAACAATGAGACTCCCAGTTGTTCTCAAATACACCTGCTGACCCACAGACACGTGGCAGAAGTTTTACATTGCAAATATTGGCAGCTAGTACTTTCTAAATCAAAGTGGATTTAAAAGTATCTTAAAACATCAAGCACAACTTTTCTATGTACAAATATCCAGGGAATGCTGTACCATAAAAGCAGAAGAAAAAAATATCAATAAAACCATACCTCTTCTACACTTGCTTTACCAATGAAGGATTTTAGGTCCACAAGTAGTTTAATTTTTTAAGTTTTTAATCCCCACCACAGAAAGAACTACAAATCAAAGCCCTGAAGTATGAAACCGTTTTCAGTCTTACTGCAGAATGCATTACCTTCACTTTGACAATTTAAGGGAAGTTTCAGTACCAACGCAAAGCCAGATTTTACTGTATTGACAAACTTGGAAGATCACATCTCAGTTTTACTGACAGCAAGCCCTCCTTATGTTCTGTGGTTTCAGAATGCGCATTTTCTAAATACCTGGGAAATACAAAGGACTCTCAAGCAAAGCCATCACAAGACTTTCAAAGAATTCTTTTTCCAAACCAGGTCACCAGTACAAACAGATTGTAAATACAGGTACTGTAAATACAGGTAATGTAAACTGCAGATTAAATGGGCTTGTCAGTCTCCTGTGCAGGCGATTCAAACCTTCATGATTGAGCAATGTACACTAAGTTAGGAATTCCATAGCACAAAATCCCTCTGCTTGTTTTCCATGACTGACAAGGGTAAGCAATTATTTCAAACACCGTGCTCTCTCAAGAAGGTCTCCATTTCCTTAGTTCTCATGACAGACCATCGAGTCTGAGGAGTTGATTTCTCCTCCACCTGTAATCAATGCACTAATGAAACAATATTTATCCTGTACCTATAGGATGGCAAGCAGACCACTGCTACTCAGCCACATAGTCTAGTAATGACAGCAGAGACTCAAACTTTACCGCCAAGTATGCATACCCTTGAACTCTTCAGGGCCAGAGAACCCGTAGAAAATAATTCTAAATTAGTGCATTCCTGGCGCTATTATAACAAGTACGTTCTCAAATTTCACTTTTTGCTTCACCTCGATTACAGCGCCTCACACTCTGCTTTGCAAACAGAAATTCAAAGTTTAACACCGAGTAATTCTTTAAATACGCTACTTCTTGAGACGGGAAAGCGAGAACTTTTTTATTGTCCACAGTAAAAAGAAAAAAATCAATGAGTCAAAGACGCCAATTTATCACAGGTGTAATAAACAACACCGTCCCATACACTTTACCGCCTCGCTAATATTTACAAGGCATTTAAATTCCTTTGCACTTGAAAGCACGTTAGGCACGAAGTTCACCGCGGCTGGAATTTGCTGCCGCAACAAGTGTGAGAGCGGAGCGGGCCTGCGCAGCGCGTGCTGCCTGTCACCGCGCCCTCCGCGAGCCGCAGGCAGCGGGCTGCTCACCGCTCGGAGAAACACAAACCCAGGCTCTCATTTATAATGCAGGACAGCTCGTTCCAAGCGTTCGTAACGCCTTCTCTAAAGTTTCTGATAACTCGAATAGACTGCTTTTAACATTATTTCCGTACTGTGTATATCAACACAACACGTACACGAAGTTCTCTCTTCCAGTTACTTTCCAGGAGCGCTGCGGCCAGAACTCGAGGCAGGTACCCGGGCGGCTCTCCTCTCCGCACGGCTGGCGGGGCAGAACCGCGGCAGGACCCGCCGCCCGTCTCGACCCCCTCCGCCCCTCCCCAGCTGGAAGACCGGCCCCGACGACTCACGCGCTCGCAGCACGCGAGCCGCCCACCAGAGCGTTTTCGAGGCGAGTTTTGCCCGTTTCAGCCTTCAGAGCTGGAAGAGGCTGCGGCTGGCGGGGGGCTGAGCCGTGCCGAGGCCTAGCTGACACGCGAGGCCTGCGGCCGCTTCCCCGGCAGCGCGGCGCTCCTCGGGCCGGGACGGCCGGGCGGGAGGCCGGGGGTGCCGCGCGGGGGCGGGATGGCGGCCGGCCCCGCGGCCAATTTTCGTACCTGTCGGGCGGCCCGGCCGCTCTCGGCGCCCGCGGCCAGCTTTCGTCCCGAGGTCCGCGGCCGCAGGCCGGCAGCACCCCGCCTCGCACCCACCTGTCCCTGGGGTCGATCCAGCTGGTCTGCTTGGTGTTGTGGTCGATGTAAAAGACTTTGCCGTCGTAATCCCTCGCCTCCTCCCAGCCATCGGGTAAGGGGAGCTGCCCATTCCCCGCTTTCCTAGGCATGGTCGGCCGGCGAGGGCGGCTGCTCCATAGGGACGGAAAGAAAGAAGGGAAGCGGGAAAAGCCCCCACCCGAGCCGGGGAAGGGGCTCGCAGCCGAGCCCGGCCCGGCGCCGGGGGACGACGCTGGCGGCAACCCGGCGAGCGCTCCTTCGCCGCCGGCTTTCGGCCCACCGTGCCGGGGCTGCCGCGGGCGGGCGAGCGGGCGGCAGCCCGGGTCAGGGTTCCCGGCGGAGCCCAGCTGCCGTCTGGGCGCGGGGAGCCCGGCTGAGCCCCGGGCGGCTGCGGCCGCCGCTCATTAGCATGAGATTAGCATCCACCTCATCTGCATGCACATTCCTCCCGCCGCATTTCTCAGGATTAACCCTGCCGGCGCTGCCCCGCGCCCGCGGGACGGGGGGAAACCCGGGCCCGGGCGGGGCCGCGGAAAAGGCACGAACGAGTCCGGCGGAGGAAACGGGGGCGGGAGGAGAAGGGCCGAGGCAGGCCTACGGCTTCCACCGGAGCCGGCTAGGAGAGGAAGGGGGAAAGCGGAGCGGGGGGCGGCGTGCGGGCTGCGGGAGGCGAGGCGAGGCGAGGCGCGCCCGGCGCTCCCTTTGTCCGCGAGGCGCCGTCAGGCGGCGTGGCCCGCGGCCCTCGGGGCTCTCCCGGCGCGTCCCTCCCGGCCCGCGGCAGCGCGGGCGCTGAGCTGCGCGGGCGGCTCCGTTCCCGCCCTGCCGCTCCCCTCTGAGCGTTACTCGGTGCGCGCCGCCTGAAAGCGCTCCCCTGAACTCTCTCTAAAACTCCGTTAAAGCTCGAGGGTTGGTAGAAAGACTTCGGTGCTTAACATTTTCCCCTTTCGCTCCAATTTTGAGCTTCTTCTCTTGAACTCTGAGAGGACTTTAAACTTTTCGATCGTTTGTTTTTTACCAGAAGCGCCGGCAGGGAACGTGCACGGACTGTGTAGGTGCCCTTCTGGCCTGAAAGGCAGCCACACGCACGTTGCGTTGGGAAGCCAGGTGTGAATTACGGCGCGGGAGAGGAGTAGTGAGGCAGGTTGCCATGGCTCGGCTGATAGAAGGTAACCTAACGAGCTCTGTTAATTAGCATGTGTATCTGATCCCCAGGGTTTGGCTCCAGAAGTGGAGCGGCGGAGCGAGAGTATGACTGTAGTTCTGTGGCTGGCACTCCTGAGTAGCCCAGGTTTTGCTCTCTGCTTTCCAGATCGTTTTCTTTTCACTTTTCTGGATTCAAAAAGCAAAGTTTTTGTGGGGAAGGAGGCTTGGAACCCAGACGTGTGGGTTTGTTGTTGTTAGTTTGGTTTCTTTTTGCCTATTCTGTAGCTCCATGGATTATTCTCCTGATACAGTTTGTGCCTACCAAGCAGCAGGCTTGTCCAGTGCCCAGCAGGGTTTTGGATTCCACTTCAGAGGCCAGGCACCCAACCATTAGGTGCTGCAGTAATTGATTTACAGGCATCCAACTCTCGTTGGATCTGCTCCTAAATAGAAAACAAAAAAAAAAAAAAAAAAAGAGAGGTATGATCTTAATTTAGCTAACTGTTGATCTGGTAAAGACATTTGCTGTCTTAGTTATTCTAACCATTTTAGTCTGTAATAGTAATCTGCTATTCCATCTCTGTGAATAGTTGTATGTCTCCCAAAAACACCTGCTGGTGAACTTTCAAACTCTCTTGATTTTATTTTCACATCTGCTGAATGAAGGCAATGTGCAATGAAAGTACATACTTCAAGTAATGCCCTGGTGACTAACAGTGAGGAGAACTGAGGTGTACAAGCCTCTGCAACTCTGTAAGAGTTCAGCTACAGAAAGTAACAGTATCATTGCCTACTGAAGTGACAGGCTCATTTATTTTCATTGAGGTTATTATGTTTCGGTCAGCTGATTGGTTTATGAAGTCAAGCCTTGTTTTTCACCAGTGTGAAGTAGTCCTTTTACTATCCATTGAAACTTCTGTATCTTCCAAGAGTCTAATTTCATAAACTTGCTTTTAGATGTCATTCTACAGTGAGAAAGTACACGTGGCAATCATGAGATAGTCTAAGCTGGATTTCTGCTTTAGTTTGCTTTATCAATAATGTTATGTTGTTATGTGAATTGAGAAAAGCTTCCAGTTTCTCTGGAACTAGCTGCTAGTTAGCTATCCTTGGCATGAATAAGAAGCTTTTATAGTGGTACAGTCTTTTTCCTTCCTAAAAAGCAGGCTTGTCATACAGCAGCACTGCTATATTCCTACTTTGTAAATAATCCACACAGAAGAGAGCATGTGGTTAGGAAATCCATGATACTAAGCTAAAACTGAAACATCATTTTTGTCAGTATTACCCCCAAAATTAATGATGATGTTACCTGATTTCTGTCCTGTGTCACGACTTCAGCAGTCCACGTGTGGTGTGCATGGATGTAGAACTGATTTATAGCTATCTCTTTGGGTAAAACTTTTCGCCAGAAAAAAGTCAACATTTTTGTTTGCACAAACAGTGGAAATGGCAACTCTTAATTTTTGGACATAAATATGTTAACGCCACTGCATACTTGTCTAGTTTCTGTTTGGATGCTTGTGTGTGTGTGTGTATACAGATGTGCTTACACTTAACCATAGACTGTTCCATGGTAAGTCTTAGGCTTTGCCCTTCCTCCATCCATTGTTTGAGTACTTCATTGTACACATTTGAATCCACAGCCCAGAATCCTAAGAAGTTCTAAATTGGCAATGACAATAGTTGAAGTAGTACTGACAAAATGTAGGAAATGCTGTGTAAGTAAATTCCTTTATTGTTATCAATTGGAATGTTAGCTTTTGTTGTAGGTAGTAGATTCCCACTATCATCTTGTTTTCTGCTATTTTGCAATTTGAACTGGTAGAAAATAGTTTCTTCCACTGTGGTATTCTTTTAGTATGTCTAGTATAGGAGGGCAGAGTAGAGTATTCCTGATGATTCTTTTTAGTCTAAAATACACTATAAATTTTAACTGTAAATAGTTTTGCAAGAACACCTACATCTCAACACGCTGTGCTGATGTTGTCAGCTGACAAGCATACTGCAGACTGTTTGGTTTAATTGTACAAGACAGGATAGCTCAGAAGACGTAAGCTTGCCTTATTTAGAGCACAGAAGGGTACATAGGAAGGAGTTTTTTAAAGTATGGGAAAATGTAGCTATGACATGACTTGCATGTCTGTCAGTAAGTATGATAAATAACAAGATAGGCTCAATGAAAAGGAGTTAATTGTTCCTTTGTTTTGCTGTGTATGTTTAACAAGTCTGAAGAATCATATGTAATATGTAATTAAAGGACTGAGTTAGAGGAAATTAGAATCACAGCTGTTTTCTGTCCTTTCTGTGTTACTGTTACCAGCTTGGAGAAAAATATCTATGGAAAATTTGGAACCTAAGCAGGAAGGAGATCCAGAAGAAGATCTGCAAAGGCAAATAGTTGTGCCTTTCATGTAACAAGAAGAGTACCTTACTCCAGTCTGTACTAGTGTAGTTCATCCCCTGCTACTCCCTGCTTGCTTCTTGACTTGCAGTAAATCTGCTTCTGGTTCTAACTGTGATTACAAAAAAGGCATATTTGTGCCCTTTCCTTTTATAACAAAAGACTCCTGTAGTTTGATGATCCACTAAAGTGATGTCCCTGAAGAAATTTACAGTCGTTACAGTTCTAATTCATACTAACCACAGATGGTTCAGAATCAAGAGCTGTAGCTGTCTCCCTGAAAAGCTACATCATAGCTCAGTCTCCACTGCTTTCAAACAGAATTTGAATGCAGAATGAAGTATGAAATACAGTGTCAGAATTAATGAATCTCTAAAAATCTGACAAATGCTTGAATATATATGTGCTGTTTATGCTGCTGGTTTTTTTTTTTAGACACTCAAACACTATACAAGCCAATCTGGACAGCCAATCTGACTTCCTTGACATATGGCTATTGTAGAACTGTAAAAAATGTCAATATTCTCCGCATTATGGAGATTGGCTTATTTATAAGCACAGTGATTTTTGTCTAAAACAGCCAAGTCTGCAAAAAAACAAAAACAAAAACAAAAAACCCCACCACCAAAGCCAACTCCAAAATAAACAAACAAACAAAAACCCAAGTAGGGCTCCATTGTTCCTGGAGATTTTCAGTTTTAAAAACAGTTTTTAAAGTCCTGTGGATAAAACTGTACATGAGGGAGGGAAAGCAAAGGAGGAGGAGGGCTGTTTTTCCTACTGTCAGCTACCGGTGCATGGATGTGACTGACAGTAAAAGATCTTTGAATGGTACCATTTCTAGCTGAATTTATGATGAAGCTCTGCAGAAGCAATGAAGCCAGTGAACGGCTTTGATAAAACTTACTCTCACTCCACTTTTTTCTTTACGCCAAAGCCTGCTCTTTCCACTGATGTTCAAGTGGAGTACTGGTAAAATAAGATGTCCTACAAGGACTTTCCATAGTATTAATGAAAAAGACCATACCAGAATCTTCTACAAATATATGTATAAACTTTCCCAAAACGTTAGCTTTGTTTTTCTTTCAGGCATATATGAAAGAAAATAGTCAGAAATTACACAAATTACACATTTTGAGACCTCAAAGGCAGTTACAGTCCCATGAATCTGAAAACAAGTGCACAGATTGTAACTGTTGTTCTGATTAAAAAGTTAGGGTAGGTGGAGTGGAAATAACAAGGTGATAGTATTGCTTCAAGCTTAACTACGGAAATGCAAATAACGCTTTCAAAGTAAAAATCTTCTAAAATTCAGCCCAAACAACTCATTAAACTAATTCAGCTTTCAGTTTTGTTAACTGTGATTAACATTGTTGATATTTTTGTAGGCAAAAATGATGGCAAATGATGGCAAAAAAAGATGGTGGAGAATTTTGGTTGTTCCTAGACCCCTAGGCTTGGTGAAGTTCAAATTAGCCATTGAGAGGTATTCCCAGATAATTTTTTGATGCAGTCTTGGTATGTACTCTCAATGTTACATTTTCTATAGAGACAGTCTTACTGTATTTTTTCTTTTTAATAGTATCTCTCATTGTAGTGCACACACATTTAACTTTCCTGCATTTTGTCATATAACAGTGGAATTGCACTGTTTATTCACCTCTGTCTAATGGCTTTGAAGAACCCAGAGGCTCACCTCGTCAGCACAGGAGGTTTTCAAGAGCCTGGTCTTCTCTTTTGGCCACGTGTAAGACACGAATTGACCAGCAACAAAGGGATTCTACTGAGAGAAGAATGAAAGAATTTCTTAATAACACCTCTGTGGTGGAGAACTGCAATGAATTTTGTCGAGTATTTAAGATACTCCAAGCAGTGTACAGATTTATAGAGAATGTTTCTAACATTCCCTCTCTACTGGTGCGAGGACTGTGTTCCCACCACAGCCAGAAGGTGGCACTTACATATGTCTGCTATGTTGTATCTGAAGGAAGCAATGGATGAAATACAAAAAATGAGTGTTATATCAGTGACATTTGGAAATGTGGCTCTCTTTTGTATCATCCATGTACTTTCAGAAACACAGTGCAGTAAATGAAGTAGACTGGACTAATTGCATGAATGTTTAAAACTTGCATGATCAAAAAAAGATCTGTCTGATGAAGAAGCTTAAGGACCTTTTTTTTTCTAACAAATGAAAAATACTATTTGAAACACAGAACTATTATAAAACCTCCAAACTGCAATATGAAAAAGAAATGCATGTTTCTGCTTCCCATCTCTTCTTTCCCCTCAATGACGAAAAGCTCAGTTTCCTCATTTGAGTGCAAAGTAGTTTGACTCCCATCCTGGCAGACAACAGACAAACCCCAGTTCTATCTCATTGCTAACAGAGGCTAAAAACTGTGCTACAGAAATAAGATCTGAGAGCCTGTACAAATTTATAGTAGGAATGGGACTGTTGAATCAATAGCAAGATTCAGCACTGCTGGTCTGCTAGAGGTGTTTCTAAATTGTACTAATCATCCCAAAGCATTTTTCATTCTAGTCTGGTTACTCAAAACCCAGAATCTCAATGAAAAGATTTAAAGATCATGGCATACTGTTATTATGTTCACTTTG